GAGACAGGAATGTGAGGCTCCAAGAGTCTCTGAGTACTGCAGATTTTCATAGGTGAATCATTTGGGTTTGGGGACATCTACTTCTCCAGGTCTTGGCATCTGAGATCGGAAGGCTTGGAGTTGCTAGCTATTCTGTAATATCATTTTAAGAAGAGAGATGACCTCTATCTTCATCAGTGACATAATCTTAATTTAACCCTCACTCTGCAGCAAGCAGAGATATCAATCAGTTGCAAGTGAGGGGACCTGAAAGCACAAGGATGAAGATACAAAAACATTCTATTTCACGAATCAGAAGAAAAATCACCTTCAGCTGGTCATACAGCCTTCTGAGCTAGCTCTGGGCTTCTCAGAAGAGAAGAAAAAATTCTACTATACTACTCTGAGGCTGAAGCCACCTGGAAGCTTTCTGGCTCCTGCAACATTAGAGGAATAAGCATGGTTTGGACAAGGAGATAGAATGAAAAGCCCTTGATTCCACCAATACCTGGCTTTGTGGCTCCACATACCAGCAGAAGAAAAGAAGAAGAGACGTGGCATTTATCGTTTGTCTCAGCAGTAGAAGTACCTATCCTCTCTTAGTTTCCGGGCTTTTGCTGCCTCCAGCATTTTGCCACCTCCAGCATTTTGCCACAAGTAGACCTGTTCCTAGAGTCTACTCTTAGGTGCTGCCTACACTACTAAATAAAATGGGAAAAGTGGCACAGCCTACTTGTGAGACTATCCATATGTCTAAAATCACAGCTTTCCCAAAATAAGGTTGCCTTGTCCATCCTGTGCATTTAGAAGAGTCTCTGGAACATGTCTGGGGCTTTCCACATCCAAACTGTGTGTGGTTACTGGGTGAGAATGTCCCACCCAATACAAGACAAAACCCTGCCATGAAGAACTGGAGAAACAACACTTCAGTGGAAAATGTTTTAACAAAAAAACAGGTGTTATACACTTTGAGATGTCATTTAGTGAGGAAATCCCTGCCCTACAAGACTCAAAATTCAAATGTTTTATGGAAATCTGAGATGAGATGGAGCAGAGGAAGAGGGCAGTGACATCCAGGGAAGCATAGAGCCATGACTGGTAGACTTCTTTGAGCTTGGGACCAGCTCAGATATTTGGAGAGCTCTGCTGTTTTAGGTGTAGTCTGCTATGGGTAGACCTATGGGGAAAAAAATGGAGCAATGCAAAAGGAAGATGCTAAGGATCCCAAACGCTTGTTTACCTTTTCCCCAGTGCCCTGGTGGTATGAAGTACAGCACTGAAGCTTCCCACCAGCATTTCTACCACAGCTGGAGGGAGCCACTTTGGCACTGTGTCACAGGTTAGAAGCTTGTAGGAAGAGCTCCTACCCTGTGATTTCTCCCATCAGTGAACTTAAACCATTTGATACCTCCATCTGATGACTGATCATAAGACTTTGGCAAAGAGTAGGAAAAGAAGCATCCGTATCTCCACTAGCTAGAGGAGGCAAAGAGTTCACGTATCTACTTAGCCTATTCAGGGGCTGGTCTGGCCCATAAACTCAGAAATGAGAAGCATCATAGAGAGATGGATCAGCAGACAGTTTTCCCACAGGAATAAAAGCTATTAGAGAAATAGTGAGTGAGCCAGAGGGGAGAAGTCCTTAGGGTAAAGAACACTGCAGTGAATTAACACAGCTAGACAAATACTGTAACCATGTTAAATCTACCTAGAAACTGATTTACAGCCTTTCCATAAACTATGACAGGGAGGCAAACAAACAATACCAAACTGGTCTCTTCCCAGAGCCTTAGAAGAACCTCCTGCTCCAGGAAAGGGGCATGTAATGAACAAACTTCACTATACAACTTCATAATATTGGGTGAGAGGCACTAATTACATGTATTTTGATGATAAAGACTAATTTTTGCTCTGCTGCTTTTGCATGAAACAGGTGGGGAAAAAAGCTGGTTCAGGGTAACAGATGCCCTTACTTTGCAGTTTCTGCTCTTTCATGTTTGATGGATCTACTGCCAGCTGGGGAAGAGTTCATCCATGCTGTCCAAATACAGCTTATCAGCTTTGTATCTTTGTGGAAGCCTTGTGCTGAGTGCATGACATCTCTGGATGCCTGCAGAGTCATCCTATCTCTAAGCTAAGATTAGAATTTCAAACAAAACTTATTACAAAGCAGGATTTTCTGAAAGGGCTGGACACAGCTATAATGTGGAAATTTCAGATTCATGTCTAAGCATGTTATTTAATCCTTTTTTAGATAAACGTAATTGCAAAGTTATATTTACCATAATATCAGTAGCTCTTGTGGGTAGAAGGAAACAGCAGGAACATGATGGGCCATAACAAAACTGGACCCAAACCCACCATCAATTCTGATCATTTTTTGCCTGAAAAGGCTGTGTTCACAGCACTCAGACACTATGTTCCTTACAAAATGGGTTAGGAGACATTTTGGGAGATTTTCCCAGCTATTACTTAAATCTTAGACTTAAATGTGCATGTGGCAAACAAGCAAGTATTTAAGAGGGCAAAGGGGAACATTTTTAGTAGCTGTCACTCTCCAAGAGCATATTCATCCACTGTAACTTGTGGAGGCTGATGCTGTGCTCAAAATCATGTGTCACAATGTTTAACAAGGAAAAGGGGATAGTTCTGGTGCTTCTGATCTACACATCCCAGTGGTCCTGGCCCAGCATGCTTCCTCACAGACAATCGAAGGTGCGAGAGAAAGGCATCCCCTCTTGTAAGGGGGAAGCTCCTTCAGTACTGAGCAGACAGAGATGGAAAGATGGGATTTTATGAGCACTTTGTGTCAGAAGCAAAATAATACAATTCAAGGATTTTGTGAAAAAGGATGGGGGTTTCCGTGCAGTTCCCAGACAGTTCTTTATTTTTGGAGAACCCTCTAGCAGTCATACTAGAGGACCTCAATCTGGTTTCTAGACCCAGCTAAAAGGGAGAAAGGAGGAGGAAAAGGACAAGTAAAAGGAAAAAGGGAGAAGGAAATGGATTATTTTTTTTCATGTGAATTAAATAAGTTATTTCCAACAGTTACACCCAACTGAGATGCACTTTGGAGGCTGCATCTGCCACCCCATCTGTAGTGTTGACTGTAAAGTCACAAGTTCTCCAAGCCCAGCCCATGAAGTCCCATAGCTGGCAGCAACAATGCCGATCCTGTAGATACTCACCCAAGTGACTATGTATGTGTACTCTGAGCCTGGTTAGCGTCTAAAGATAAAGGTAATTATATCCTGGTTTTTCAGACTGGAGCTGGTCATCTGCTTAAAGTTAATTTCATACACAAATGCTTAGCTAATTGCCTGATGTGACTGGGGCTTTAAGCCTGTCTCTTTTCTGACTACTGGACATCTGGTATTAGAAAAGGATAGTGCTAGAAAAGTTTCCAAGGATCGCTCATCTATTTAAAGTTGAGCACGTGCATGTGTTCAACAGGGTGGATATCTTCAAGCTGAAGATTACACTGCCTGTCAAACACGCCTTCTCAATCTTTCCAAGCCTGAACACACTAAAAACCTTCCTGATTGCAGCAGGCCTGTCAAGCATTTCTTTTTTTCTCTAGTTTACAGAGAGTATTTTGTTCTGTGTAAATTTTATACCATATAGGTCATTTGCTTGAGTCATACAGAGAAAAGTTAAGAAACCTCCCCACTGTTCACACATACACACACAGTCCCTGGACATGGGGGAGTTAATCTGACACAATGAAATCTGTGCACTTTGCTTCATTAAAACCTAAATTTAGATCTTTTCATAAAGTTGATGTACTGTTTATTCTTCCTACTACAAACCCTAAGACTTTGGGAAAAAAAGCTGCAATTTCCAAGAATGCAAGTTTCCATTAAACATGAGCCAAAACTGTCAACCTCGACCTGTGGGGAAAAGAATGAACTGTGATTTCACTGTTTGGTTTCTTCCATTAGGCATAATTTCTCCTATATCCATCCCATGTACAAATACTCATACAGCCTGTTTCACCAGCTGAACATTGTAAGGGGGTTGACTGTGCCCAGTGAGAGTCGTGAACCATAATAAGGAATACTTCTTTCTTTTCTTGCAGAAACAGGTAATTAAGTTTGTCAAAAGCAGCAAAGGCCGCGAGATTCTGGCTTTGGTCCTCCAAACTCTTACACGCTTCGCTTTCTGCACGCAAACTGCCTCAGCCAGATTCGAGATAAAATAAAGTTACAAAGGCACAGTTCTGGGATTAGCAGAGGAAGCGAGGAGCGTGCCCTGCTGCGGCCGGGGGTTGGCTTTGCTTGCCCGGACGGAGCCAGATCCCGAATGGAAAGGCTCAAAATCACTGCATAAGCACCTCACTCCTCTGCTACATCTGCTGGACCCACCCTGAGATGCCGCATCGCCCCGTCTGCCGCAGGTCGGCTGCACGGCGGGCTGCGTACGCCCCTCACGGCTCACACCCAACCACGCGGGGTAACCCCCCCCCACCGCCGCCCCCCGGCCCCGCTCCGCTCCGCCCCGCTCCGCCCCTCCCGGTCTGCCCTGCCCCGCCGCGCTGCGGTACGTGACGGCCGGGCGGGGGGCTGGTCAGTTGAGGGGGGGGGCGATTGAGCTCCGTGGGCTCGACTGAACTCCGTGCCGGGGCGGGGGCTCCCAGTGAAGCGGCGGGTGTTCAGGCAGCCCCTGTCCTCCCCTGCCGTCCGGCAGTGGGACGGGCCAACCGGCGGGGAGCCGCGCTTTCCGTAGGTTTGTTCTGTCACCCGTCTGGGAACATAAATTTGGGAATAAAGGGGAGGGATTTCCCACCTTATCCCGGAAAAGGACGGAGAGCTGCGAAAGGAGAGTGCTACCGCCTGCTCCGTGGAGTCCCGTTCCCTGCCTCCCGCACTGCCTGCTCAGCTCCTGCTTGTGATGCTTTTGGTGGACGGGACGGGGGCTTTCGGCAGGGCTGCTCTGCGAGGCCGTGGCCATCAGAAATGAGTCTTCACGATCTCCACAGGCTAGCCTTGGTTCAGACCAGGAAGTCTGGTTCCTCAGGTCCTTAAGGATGCGAGTAACTTAAGAGTTCTGTGTTGAAGTACTCCCCTGGGCGCTGCTGTCTCCTGGAGAAACAACCTGAGAAACTGACCTGTTGTACGTCGTGTTCTTTCTGCCAAGTTTGTAAGGCTGTTCTGCAGCCTCCCTTCCTGCAAGGAGTGTCAAAAGAGCATATTTTGTTTCTGCTATGAGCAATTGCCAATTACTCATATAAAAATGATGATCTGAAAGAGGGAGTGCACTGTAGAATAAGTAGTGATGCAGTGACGTTCAATGTTGTGGCTATTGGTAGGGGGCATCTCATCAGGGCTTCTTCCTGTAGTGCACAAATCTAACAAGGTTCTTTCTTTTTGCAGGGTAGAGTGAGCCCTGTGGAGACGTGCTAGAGGGACCACCCCCATTTCGCATCTAGCTGAGTGGACTATGGTGGCAGGAAGATGTTGGCTCGGAAGAGTATCATCCCTGAAGAGTATGTGTTGGCACGGATTGCTGCCGAGAACCTGCGCAAGCCACGCATCCGAGACCGGCCACGCAAAGCCCGCTTCATTGCCAAGAACGGGGCATGCAATCTGGCACACAAGAACATCCGCGAGCAGGGGCGATTCCTGCAAGACATTTTCACCACCTTGGTGGACCTGAAGTGGCGTCACACACTGGTCATCTTCACAATGTCCTTCCTGTGCAGCTGGCTGCTCTTTGCCATGATGTGGTGGCTGGTGGCTTTTGCCCATGGTGACATGGACCCAAGCACAGAAAGCACTGCGAACAGCACAAAGTGGACACCATGTGTGACATGTGTGAGGTAAAATATGGTCGGTGGGATGAAGAAAGGGGGTGGAACAGGGCTGCCTGCTGTCCTAATGATGCTAAAATGCATCTTTTGGTTTACATGAACCATTGTGTTTGGTTGAGACAGTTGAAAAGTGCAGTGTTTTCCTCTAGATCACATAAATTCAGCAAGCCTTCTGGGCTTGGAAAATACTGTACTCTAGATTTCTTTGATTCCTTACAGGATCTGAAAGAAAGGGAGACCTGCTGCTTTTCATGTGTCTCCACACTCTGTGGGTAACATACCTTGCCTGTCGAGATAAGAGCCTGCTGCAAGAGTGGGTATGTGTTGTATGTATTGTAACCTTGTCTACGGCAGTGGGAGCATCCCCAGCATGGTGCAAGCTACTTGCCATGCCACTGAAAGGTGGCCACCCCAGGAGCGCTGTCTGAGAAGCAGGATATCAGCCATGGGTGTCAGGCAGGGCTAGCAAGAAAAGCACTGCTTAAGGCAAAACTAGTCTTTCAAGATGACTGTCATGAGACAGATAAAAATGTGGTGCTTCAAAATACCTTGATGAAGCCATAGGCCAGTAGTTTGACAGAGTAACAGTTTCCACAGTGTGCATGATGTGACAGACAGTGAAAGCTTAAGGGAGTAGTAGACTGAATGTCACCTGTTAAAGTGTTTTATTCCCCTTTCTCAAAGCTGTGACAATTTTCAAAGCACTGATAAACTGACACATCTGCACACAGAAGAGAGTGTAACCGGGAGGTGGGGTAAGCAGTAAGATCAGTTTGTCTTCTTGTCAGTAAAATCTCTTTTTATAGCACTAAGTTTTTCAGCAGAAAAATCTGATGTCCCAGATCAGCTACGTTTACACATTAAAGTGCTGTGAGGAACTGGGGGGTCTACAGGGTCTGCTGAGATATCAGAGTATCCACTCCTGCACATAGTTTTAAGGCACCTCTCCAAGTTTGAATGGATATCGTATCTGGCTCATGAAGGAGCAGAGATTTCATTCTTTGATTTTGACATTTTTTGCTAAACTGGGATGTTCCAAGCCAAAGGAAGCAGGGATTTTTTCTAAGCTAACTTTCATTAGGTTGGGATGGAGGGGGTGCTGTTTTATTTCTTTTCCAATTACTGGCCGCACTGGAATGAGACTTTATCATCCAGCTTGTGCCCACTGGGTTGTGTGGAAATCATCCAACCTGCCTTAGCAAGTAGCTACACCCCACCAGCTCTTCAGGGTAAGGCGGGAGGATATCCCCCTGCTTGCTTGGTGGCCCCCTCAGCTTGGCCACCTCATGGGGCTCCCCACAGCACTCCTGTGCCATGCTGCAGAGCCTGCACTGGTTGCCTAGGCTTTGTGCCACTAGGAAATAGGGGACACGGGTACAGATCTGAGACGTGCACCCTTCCCATAGCTGTGACAGCCCTATGCTGGGAGATGGGAAAAAACAGAGCAGATGAGTCCATGTAACTTTCTGGTTTAGCCCATGATGAAAGAACACACATCACTCCCTCATGCAAATACTTGGGGTGGTTCAGGTAACATCTGCTCAAGTGCCCATGCCCAAGCTGTGGAAAATCTTTTCCCTTCATAACGAAATACTTCATCTTGTTAAATCTGGCTACCTCATTAGACAAAGAAATAGAATAGCAACGCGATTGTTAACATTTTGAAGAATGGTGAGTTTTTGAGTGTAAACTGTATTTCATATTGCAATTATATGTATGCCAAAATAGAGGCAAATACTTTTTAATGTACTTTCCTGAGATTTAAGCCCATGGATATTTCAGGAGAGCTTTCTTGGGTGGGTGGCATTATAGACTTAAGCCTTTGGAAATTTTAACCAGTGCCTAGACCATGCACAGCACTTTAATTTTTCAAAGAACTGGAGAAATGCCTAAGCCTCACAGCTCTTTGCCACACAAAGCAAACATTCTACAAAGAGGAAACATTTTACACAGGTCTAAAGAGAAAGACCCGGCTATAGCATGGTTTGGAGTTTCTGGTTCCCTCTTCACGTGATGAAAATACTGTATAAACTTGCTGCTTCCATTACTTCCACTGTAAAAAGATGGATTCTCTCTTTTAATTTTTTTTTAAGAAGCAGTATTGTTTAGGGAAATCAGAATATTTGCTCCACAAAGCTTTAAGTTGAATTAAGCTGAATTAAGTTTAAACCAGAAGCCCCATTCTCCATGTAACTAAACATTCATAAACATAAGAAGTCCTTCCATAGATTCTATTAATTAACTCCTTCATTCCTGATTTCTTCAGTGTGGAATGCAGAAATAAACCCCTCAATACAAGGGAATATCTAAAACTACAAGAACTCTAAAAGGGAAAAAAGAAAGACAAAGATCTTTCAAAGATATCTCTACTGGATTTCTGAGAGATGGACTTTCTCATTCTACTGAAAATTATCCCTAATATTGCCTAAGCTATTTTAATGTCTATTTGTGACTTCAGGTTCAATGAAAATATGGTTAGGAACAAAAAGAAAAAAATATTTGAAAGCAGATTAATTTAAAAGTAAATGAAACCAAATGAATAGTTTAGATCCATATTCCTGGGGAAGACATATTTTCCATAGGTAAAACTGTGCTGAGCATGGCAGTGCTTCAAATGTTGGTGTATAGCACTGTGTAAAAAGGATGACTACAACACTAGTTCATATGAGACCCAATGTGCTGCACCTCTCCTGAATAAACCCCAAGGTACTGATTTTAGACACAAGATATTTTTGTAAAGGACGTATCTGATTATTAAGGAAACTAAAGGCCCTGGTATATACAGCAGATAGGCCATTGTGGACTACTATAAGTAATGTATTGTGGAAAACTTGTGGACAGCATCCTCTGATGTCCAGCACTACAGCATGTTAGGGACATTTCAGTTAAACCACACTTCTACGACCCACTTCTGTACTGAAATTTTCCAGCTAGTCTTGCCACAGCAGCGAGCTAAACCCAAACCCTGGGTCACAGCACTGTCCTCCTGCCGGAATGTGCAGAAGGGACCACAGAAGCCACTGATCTCTCTCGCCAGCCATATCTCAAGGTCTCAGTTGCAAGGCGAGCAAGGATTTGAGAGGTGTTATGAATCTGGGAGTGTCTCCTTTCCCTCCAGGAAACTCTGCTAATGGGGGTTGCGATCAGGTAGTATGAGTGAAATGCTGCAGTTTTCCCTGTTTCTTTTCCCTGCACAGGCTGGTGGAAGAATTCCACTGTGCTGGCCAATTGCTCACTATTGCCAAAACCATCACTCTCCACCAAGAGCTTCATGGGCTGGGAAGGTAGAAAGTTCAGGTGTTACAGCACTGTTGACTAACACAGTGGTCACCATGTGTTCCTGAACAGAGGATCTAGTGATCTCAAGATCACCTAGTTTGCAGATTGTGTTTTAGGAGCTCAGGCTCTGAGTTCTTCCTTGTCACCATCAGATTCTGCGTTGATCATACAAAAAGAGTCACTGAGCATGTAATGCTTTTTCTGGTGTTAACAGAAAGCATAAATGTACCAGGACTCTAAGTCCTTAGAACTTAAGTGATCCTTAAGTTTGTTTCTAGAAAGTATATGGTAATAGCTTCTTGGTTTGTATTCAGTATCCTTAGCATTGGCTTTGTCTTCTTCTCCAGGTCCTTCACTTCCGCCTTCCTTTTCTCCATTGAAGTTCAGGTGACCATTGGTTTTGGGGGCAGAATGATGACAGAGGAATGTCCCTTGGCCATCACGGTCTTGATCCTGCAGAACATTGTAGGCCTGATCATCAATGCTGTCATGCTGGGCTGCATATTCATGAAAACTGCACAAGCTCACAGGCGGGCTGAGACCTTGATTTTCAGCCGGCAGGCAGTCATTGCAGTTCGAAATGGCAAACTTTGCTTCATGTTTCGAGTGGGAGACCTGAGGAAAAGCATGATCATTAGTGCCTCAGTGAGAATCCAGGTTGTGAGGAAGACTACGACCCCTGAAGGAGAAGTCATACCCATTCACCAAGTAGATATACCTGTGGATAACCCCATTGAAAGCAATAATATATTCCTCGTGGCTCCCTTAATCATTTGTCACATTATAGACAGACGGAGTCCTCTTTACGATATCTCTGCTGCTGACCTGGCACTTCAGGACCTGGAGCTCATCGTGATACTTGAGGGAGTCGTAGAAACAACTGGCATCACAACACAGGCAAGAACCTCCTACATAGCAGAGGAGATCCTGTGGGGTCACCGCTTTGTGCCCATTGTCACTGAAGAGGAAGGCGTGTACTCAGTCGACTACTCGAAGTTTGGCAACACTGTCAAAGTGGCAGCACCACGCTGCAGTGCTCGAGAGCTCGATGAGAAGCCATCCATTCTCATCCAGACACTGCAGAAGAGCGAGCTGTCCCACCAAAACTCCCTGCGGAAACGCAACTCCATGAGGAGGAACAACTCCATTCGGAGGAGCAATTCCATGCGGAGAACCAATACCTCCCTCATCGTGCCCAAAGTGCAGTTTATCACACCTGAGGGGAGCCAGAGTGCCTCAGAAACGTGATACACAGCTTTGTGAGAGGTTGGTGGGCTTTGGAAGGAGGAGGCACCTGTGGTGTTTTGTTTAAATTTCCTCTTCAGAAAATGAGACCACAGTGCAGAAAAGAACTGTGCAAGAAATATTTATTCTGTTATTTACTGAAAGCATCACCTAATTGCATTAGGAAACACTTTAGCACTTAGTGTATGAATTAATAAAAAATGTCACGTACACTAAAGGAAACACTGTTCACTCATGTAATATAATGTGTATTTATACTTGGTTTAATGGCATGCTAAGTTTTTTTAATTGCATTCTTTCTGTCAAGGGTCTCTTTCTTATCTTCTTCTGCTGACTGTCACAAAATATGCTTTTTTTCCTGTGTAAGTGGGTTGCCCTCCTGCAGGCAGAAGTGAGTGCTTTTTCAAAACAGCTGCATACAACAGCTCCCACAGATTTTATGTGGGTTACTTGGATATTGATCTTTTGCAGGTGAATTCCTTGTTCTCTTGAAAGGAGTAGCTAAATTCCTCCATGATTTCACTGGAGAAGAGACAGTATCTTATATTCAGTTTTCCAGAACTTTTTTTTTTCCATTGGTTTATTGCAAAGGCATTTTGAGAGCAAATTCAGGTCAGCTGAAGTGACCTGACCATCCCACAGGAAAACGCGTGCCACTCCAGGCAGCACTGGCATTAAAAACAGTAGAGCAGCATGGCCTCTTGTAGGTCACTGCGCTTCTCAGGGTGAGATGCTCCAATGCGGGACAGCATGCATCTGTAAAGTAGCTCTGGCCCAATCTGAGAAACTCAAGTTCTCCCAGCTGCCAGCTGAGCATCCATTGCACTGAAATTATGCATGTTGGAAAAAGCACACACCTCTTAAACATCCTCTTCATATCAGTGGAAGACCAAATCCTGTCCTGTTTTCTCTTACAGATTCATACACTGCAAACAAGTGTGCTTCCTTCACTTACAGTATTTTTGTATGACTAAGTCTGCTTCAGCAGGTTACTTTTGGCCAATGAGAATTCATGAATGAGAATGAGAGGGAACCATGCCAATCATATTTAAGATAGCATTTTCAAAACTATCTGAATAATTTTCAGTGAGACTTGGGTGCTACTGCTGAATTACTGGTTTTCAGCAGCATTTCACCTGTGATTTTAATAATATGACATTGAGAAATGGTGGTAAGCAGCTTTTCTCTTGATTCGGAGAAAACTCCAGGAACAAACTTGCCAACAAAGGTTTCAAGCTGACAAGCAGGTATTCGTTATTGCAGTGCCGGGAGACACAGGGGGTAGCTCCTCCTAACGTGTGTCCCCTTATTGCTACACAAGCCATCTTTATATAGTCCCTGGTCATACATACATATTCATGAGGCTACATATGGATTACATTATTTTCCAGAGAGTTCCCCACATGCGTACAGAATTGTGGTGGTGGTCTCTGAGGGTCCTTTACTTCTTCCAACAATCTTCATCACTTCTGGCAGCCTTTGAAGCATGTGCAGTAGATACTTATACCAGCTTAAGAGACATAATAATCCTCCTATCCTCCTACTTATCAGTTAGTTTAACTGTAGCCCATCCTGGACACCTGCAGTTCCCAGATACTCCTTATCCCCGTGTCCTGTTCTTCTAGACTGTTTTTCTTAAAACTATTTCAACTATAATGATTTATCTTGTGAGAATTCTCAGTATGTTCTCTAGCTGTACTCTATTTTTTGTCTCTATGTATCATGCATCTCAGTAAATTTCCATTGCTACTGTTACAAAGCCATCAAACTTAACATTACTTAAAACTAATTCTAAAGGTTCCTATATTCCATTTTGTGATTTTATGCCCCTTTGTCTCAAATTCCCCCCTTTTTCTGTCCTTATGCAAATTCTTTTGCAACATTTTATATTTACATTTTACCATTAACCATCAAAAGTCTTTTTCAAATTACAATGGGCATTCGTTATGTAGAGACTTCACAAAAAATACCATTACAAGGTTTTTTGCAAGAATAAATAAATGCATGACAACCAGTTATATCTAATTTGATAATGCAAATTGATGCATGCTATTTTCCTCTGGGAATAAGAAGTATAATTATGGACAAACTCCTGTTCAAATTGCTTACAAAAGTTGTCTTACTATGTCTGTGGCTCAGGAGAAGTACTATCCTTGCACTGAATCTCTGAGCCATTCAACCACTTACATACTTTTGTAATTTTAAATGTTTGTGTATTCTTATCAGGTAAAATAGTCAAAAGCAATGCTGGATTCTCATTCTCTTTGGAAGTCAGTTCATCAGCACCTGTATGGGTGGTTTGCAGGCTTTGTGCAGTGTTGGGTGGTGGCACAGAGGGGCCCTGCTCTGTATCGTAGGCTCCCTACATTTAAAGCAGGTGCTATCCAGAACTTAAACAGTGACAAAATACTTCATCTGAAGCAGTAGCGGAAACTGAAGTTTCTGCTAAAAGCATTCATTCCCTGGCCTGCCCATTACTGTCTTGGGAGGATGGATGGTGAACATCTGGAGATATTAATGTGTCCATTGTGTGTTCAAACAATGAACATCTGTAGCCTCCAAGAAAAGAGCAAAGGATACACAGTTTGTCTCTGGCCTCTGTTTCCAGGGTTGTGAATTTCTTTGAGGCTGTCTGTTTGATATATGGTTAAGTCAGATGCTGTACAAAAGCACATTTTCTACAAAATAAAAAAATGACAACAATGATTTCTTCCGTCTCTGATTTTTCTGTACTTCCTTCTTTATTCTCCATTCATTCTTCTATACTCTTAATCTTTCTTGTATCCCAGCCTTTCCCCCAGTCCTTCGGAGTGATAATTTTGTATTACCTCAATACTCTCTCAGGACTTCAGCTGACAACCATTTTCTCCCTAAGTACACTCCTTCTTCCAGTTTTTATTTTGCCTGCGTCTCTCTCTGCTTTACACCTAATGTACTCTCTTTCCTGTAAGACTATTACAGGGATATTGCTATCTTGAGGTAACACTAACACCTCAGTTTTATGCAAGGATGCCAAACAGTTATACAAGGCAGACCCTTGTGTCATAAATGTCATGCTCATACATGCTGTGCTCCTGTTCCTTGCAGAAAATCCCCTAGTCCAAAACCTCTTTCTTGAGCAAGAATTACAGACTTGGAAGAATGGTGGCAGAAGCAGTCAGGATAAACTGCCTGGCCAGCCATGGAGGGCAGGGGGGAGATTTTAGAACTGGGGGCCGCATGCCAACTGAAGAACAGGTTTCAGGCCCAGTTTTGCATCACCTTGCCTGCTGAGAGGGCATGAGCTGGCAGCACCATGGTTCAATATGTTTAATTACTTTATACTCCCTGGTTACTTTATCAGATGAAAGGGGCTTTATTATAAATCTAAGTTTTCTATGTTTAAAGTACTTGGCTGAGTTCAGAATGACAGGTGATATTTCTACCAAACACTGCTGAGAGTTCATGCAAGCATTTAACTTTCTGTCTCATTGATAAGTTAGAAAATTAGAAGTAATAATGTATAAGCATTATCTGCCATCCCTTCACACTTACTTTTGTCCCTACTACTCCCATCCTCCTGTAACATAATGTAACTGGAACTGCGTTTATTCAACATCACTTATTCTGTGTGTTTCATGTACTTTTTCTCTTTGAACAGCCTACCAGGCAGTTGTCACTCTGGAGCAAAACTATTCCCTAAGGGTAGGAAAGTGATTATGAAGTCCTTCCAGGACAGGAGTGATATGTGGCACTGTACTTTATTTTTATTTTCTATGTTCCTTTCTTAACTTAAAGAACTTCTCTATTTTAAACAGAAAAATGGCAGTGAGATTCTTTGTCCTTTCTTTAGACACCCAGAAGATTCAGTTCCCATAGCGGGGACACAGAGACCAAACACAGGCAGTGCTTACAGGGGATATAAAGCTTAATGCTCCAGGGTCAAAGCCAACATCTGAGTAATAGGATTTGGAGGAAACTTTCCCTTTGGCAGGTTATTCTGCAGGATTTCTAGTGCTCTCATTTGAAACACCTGGTCTGAGGCAAGGACAGAGGCAGGAGCCCTGATAAGCATAGGCAGATTAGATCTCTGCTTGAGGGCTGGCAGACTGCAAACACAAGAGTTCTTCCCTTCCTCCCACCCAGAATGATGCCATGAAACCCTGCAGTGAAGCCAGCCACTGGAGACCCTCCTAGCTGCAGTCAAGGCTTGCTAGGATGTGCAACGTCAATGAGTCATTGAGTGCTGCCTAGAGCCCAAAAATTCTGGTTCCAGGGAGGAACCCTCAGTGCTCATGGCATGGAGGACAGCACTGTTGAACCAGACAGGGCTGCTGGAGTGGTCTGCACAGCAGGCAAGGCAGCAGAGTTACCCTTCAAGCCAAGACTGGACGAGCGCTAACTGCCTGTGCACAAAGCTCCATACTGCTCTGTGTACCAAACCCCACTAGAGCCTGCTGCAAGCCACACTTTGAGCCTTTCCATAACACTTAGCATCACTGTGGCCTTGTAAAACAATCCCTCTCCTGAGTATTGCTTCATGGGCACATGTTGCACCACAGCAGTTTGCCCTTGCAAATATAACTCTCTGATTCCATCCACAGAAGGGTTAACCCAAGATTTCTGGGATACTCAAGACATCATACAGTAAGACAGTCAGAAGGATATTCAGACTTAGTTAACACCTCACGTATGCAATGGGCCTTTACCCTAACACCATGTCTTACTGTAGTCCACCAGATCATTTCAGAAGCATAGGGCTCAACTTACCTCACAGCCATCTTGAATATATTTCATAAAATCATGCATCTTTATCTATATTGCAAAAAGCTCAGGCTTTTCCATGTGGAAGGTGACATGCACACAACATTCTGGCTGACTGAAAAAAGTAGGGCTAATTCCTCGTATCTTTTCTTCCTTCACAAACTAGAGATAGAGGACACTTTGTGAAACCAGTTTCCAAGCTCTCCAGTGATTATTCTTAGCAAATGTTTGTTGCTGCAAGCTGAAAAGGTAGTTAGTCCAAGACTAGAAAAGAACTTTGGAGAAAAAAAAAAAAAACAAAAACAAGACATTAGATATTATATGATGAAAGGAACAAAGCCTTCATTATTTTTGACAAATTGTGTTCTCTGCAGAGCCTGATATTTTCAAAACACTGGTGAGGGTTTGGAAGGCACTATCAAACAATAAATCATATCTTGTTGGACTCTGATTCTGTGCTGTGCTGCTATTAGCAACAGGGGTTTGTAGCTGCAGCATGGCATCCGGCAAGTGTGAGTCAGCCTGGCCTCTGGATGCTTGCA